AGCAAAATTTGCTCACCTTTGGCCCAACCATGGAGAGCATGGGTAGGGAATCTAGTCGCTCACTAGGTTCTATAGGTTTCCAGATGCTATTTCCAGGCATCTAGGGTTGTATTCTTAAGAGTTGGGGCTTAGCGAAATGGTTCATTATCTCCTCGGTAGTATGGTAGGTAGAGCTGTTGGCTTAGTATCCTTTTATAGCCATTTGTAAACATAATATTTAGGCCTACATTGAAATAGCATTGTAAGGGTCGGCTCAAAGTAGAAAATGTAGTAGTAAACTGTAAACAATATATTAGATAGAGTAAATATAACGCAGGTAAAATTATCCACCCACAGGTTACCCCGGTATTTCTAATTTATTTATAAAATAATAATTTACATATTAAAAATTGACTATAAACTACATGGTAAAAACTACCCCTGCTGAACACCGTCCTAGTATTTATGAGTGAACTTTCTATTGTTTTTATATTTGAAGTCGGAAAGCATCAGTGTCGGTTCCACCAGCGGAGGTGAGGGATAGATAACTTTTACAGTCACAAGGTGAAATTTCCTGGCATGGATTGTCGAGAAATTTGGATCTTTTCATATCTGGAAATCTATGGCGCCGTCACTGCATTACGTCCGATTGGGGCTGTGGGAGGGCCCGGTTATGAGGTTTCATATAGGACCTACGCCATATTGTCGAAATCCAGTTTGCCGAATCCCAAATTGCCTAGTCTACTTTGCCGAAATCCCATTTTGCCGAAACCCAGTTTGCCGAAAGTCAATCAAAAGCAGTGAAACATTAAAAACAGCATAACATTCGTGGAGCACTCTTTTACCGTGACTGCGTCTGTACGAACTGGTGGAGCCAGCGGAAAGTAAGGGCATAGACATAGATATCTATTCATCCGTAATTGGAAATTGTTCTTTAGTCTACGTCTCTCAAAGAAGAAAGAAAATTACATGATTTATCGGGAAAAAAGAAACTGCTATTAGGCCTACATGTCTGTTGTTAAAGAGGCAAATTCCAGAGAATTGCGAAATTGAGAAGCCTTCTATTGCGAAGTGCGATGCGATCTCTGTTTATTCGTATAAATAAATAACTGCTTATTGTAGTTTAATGATTAGTTTTGTCTTATTCTGTAAATCAAACTTGATTAATAATTAGCTATCATCAAAAATAAATAATTAAATAGGCCTGTCAGATAAAATGTCTTATAAGCATATTTATAATAAGTGTATAAAGTTTAATTAAGATAATAATATGTATACCTAAATGAAATAAATAAATAATTAATCTACATTTATACACCCGAATCAAGGGACTGACTAGAACCTCAGGGTCCCGGCATAAAAAATCCATGTGTTCGCGTTGGGAGTCTTTTGGGGGGTTTTTTATACCACAGTGTTATAAATTGACAATCAAAATAACGTTATATGGATAGGCAAATTAGCATTTTTGGTCCCCGACAATTTCGTCGAATAAACGCTCTGAGGCGTTTATTGTTGCGAATGGTTGTTGAGGGAGAGTTTATTCGAGGGAGATGTTTATTCGAGTCAGGCATTTATTTTTTTGTGTAAAATGGATATGTACTGTATATACTCAAACGCCCCTTAATTCCATTGTAATTAAAATGTAATTCTACTGGAGTAGAACATTAGTGGAAAGTTTTGGGAATGATGTTTTTATTTGATCTGTTTACAGTCAATGGGGAGTTTATTCAAGGGAAAAAATATACGCCACGGGGTGTTTGCGAAAGAGGCGTTTATTCCAAACATGGAGGTATTATTTCACTATAATACCTCCTTGTTCCAAATGAGGCCCTAGAAGGGGCGTTTATTCAAAACGGAGCGTTTACACGGGTACAAATACGGGAATGTAATATGGCTCCTCCCTGATCCACCCATCATGTTTTCAAAAGCACAGTATGCTGTACTTTTGTTCGATGGTGACGGCAAATGATTCGGCAAACTGGGTTTCAGCAAACTGGGTTGTCATGATTTCGGTGAACTGGATTCGGCAACTTCGGCAAAGAGGCCATTAATTCAGCAATCATGGGTTTCGGCAAACTGGATTTTGGCAAACTGGTCGGAAACCGTTTCGGCCCCAGTGGTAGACCAGTTCGAGGGTGGACGCTAATAAGGAGTGAACTAATAATTTGTAGGTTTAGCCTGGTAGGGCACTACTGGCATTGGCAGCAATTTTCCTTCAGATACCTGGTTGGTTGTTCACCTGTCTCATAATATCCAAATTACGGTTGAAGCAAGCGTGTATGTGAACTACCGGAACTGTGTCGTACACACGTCGTCGCGAAAACATCTTCAGAAATATTGAATTTTGGAATTCTAAGTAAGAAAACATACATATAGGTAAGTAGAGAGACCATACTGTAGTTGTACAAGCCTATATGCCTTCATGGTGTTAGATTGAATTGCGGTATCCATTGTTGTGTTGCTGTTCAGGACATTTTCAGGTTGGAGACTGTGCTCTAAAATTGTTTGAGTCCTTTTCATACAATGGCATTAAACCGGAATATATGAGTGAAAATGTAACAACAGTAAAAAACAGAGCTAAAGATTTGTTGGTGTGTAATGACATACTGTATAGACAGGCACATGTTGTTGCAACCTACATTCAACAATGTAAAGTACTCTTTAAAAGTAGGCTAAGTGAAATCATTTTAATTAATTTATTAAAGTGTAAAATTCTTTATATAGTG